GGACCTCTGCTAACCTGGGGCACCACAGCGACCAGGCACAATCCCTATAATTCCATTGTGAAAGGTGATCCTTCCACCTGGATCTCTGACCATGCCTATAATGCAGTCCAGTCTCCTCCACTTACTAATTAGAAGTTTCTGGAGAAATTATTTGATCCCTCGATACCTCAGTTTTTGTCATCTGTAAAATGGAAGTGATAATAAAAGTACCTGCGCCATAGGATACTGTAAGAAATAAATGAGACAAAGCATGTAAATGGCTTACAATAATAAGTGCTTAAGAAATACTTGTTATTATTAGTAAGGTCATTCACGTAAACATGCCCTTTGGGGACAACAAAAGTTTTCCAGCCTCGAATATCACAGCTTTAAATAACAAAGCCAATTGCTAGGATCTGAGAAAAATCATACTAGAATGTAAGGATCCAAGGCTGCTTTTTCCCTGGAGCTGCATAGTAAATACTAATAAATCTCAGAGCAGCAGTGACATCCAACATAAGGTTATTGATAAGTCCCGTCTCCTTGCTGGGCATTTTTCATAGTTTATTTCATTTAGTCTTTAAACAACCTCAAAAAATAGTTATTGGGTTTTTTTTTCTCCTTTGCAAGAAGGTCCAGAGACAAAAAGCGACATTTTCAGCAGTCACATAGTTGGGAATGTTAGAAGACTCATCCTCAAGTTTAACTTCATCTTCCAAACTCAGGGGATGATTACAGCAACCACTTAAGCAGAAGTCTGGGAGACACCCTTGATGCCACCTTTGACATCCACTGATGTCAACCTCAACCCATCAGCAAGCCTATCATTCCACCTTCAAATAAAAATTCACTTTCTCCATTTCTCACTCTCTCCACCCACTCCACCCTAGATAAGCCCCTGCTGTCCTGGGAGATCTCCCATAGCCTCCTCAGTAGTCACCTTCATGTCACCTGCCTCCCAGAAGCCCATTCTTCACAACAAAGCCAGAAGAGTATTTGAAAAATGTGACTCAAATCCTGTTATATGATTCAACCGGCTCTTTTAAAGCCTGAAAGTTCTTCCTGTTGCCCTTAGAATAAAATTCAAACTCCCTTCTAACAACTACAAGACCTTCCATGATCTCCCCCTTACTTATGATTCCATCTCATATGGTGGATTTCCCTTGACAATCCTGCATCTTCACTTTCAGGGTCTTCCTTGTATGAGCCCTTTTAAGGTCCTGGGAGACACCTAGTGATGTGCTCACATGGGCAGGTGTTTCTGTAAACTTCACAGATGAAAGATATTTAGCTGTGATCCTTTCAGATCAAGGTCATCCATTTCGACGCTATCACACTACAGTGGCAATGGATAAACGAGGGCTGAGGCTAAGGCAGAGTTGAGTGTGTGTTTGATTCAGGTGTAGAGAGATCTAATTATGTGGTACTTAGTCACTTCCATCTCTGGTAAGTTATTGCTACCCATCTCAGTGTAGGAATGGCTTCCAGGAACACACCAGCCGACCACCAAGCTGGCTCACCCTTCGTGTGACTGAGGATGCAGGTCCATGGTGCCCAGCATCAGGAGCGTGTGCACAGGGATAGGAAACAGAGCCAAAAACTGGTCTATGGAAAGTTCTTCCAATCATCAGTCATATTCAACTAAGAGAGGATTTGGTTCTCATCAAAGCTCAGTTAAAGCAGAAATTCTTTCTTATCAGAATCTATCTGGCAGTGAAACATATACAATTATAAATGCACAGCATGCCTTTTCTTCTTTTTAAATAAGAATTGCATAGAGTAGGAGATATGAATCTTGTGCTCACAGAGCACAAACGTGACAGTCCTATAAACAGCTGGTACATCCATGTGAGAAGTTGCAGGTTGTATGATCTCATTGTATTGCATCTTGTCTTAGTTGGCACATCTGTCTTGCTGATGTCTGGTGCCTATGGACAAAATGTCCTGTGGATCATAACAGAAATAGTAATTCACTAAGGTGGATAGATACATTTGAAAACAAAATAATGAATAGACTCTTGGATCATTTGATAATCTAATTAAAATGAGTGAACAATAAACATATTGGGACAGATTTAGTTTTCTCTATTATTTGATAGGAAATGCTAACCTGGATGAATGAAATACAGAATTTATAACACACCACTACAATGGGGACTTTGACAGTAAACTAGTTAATATACTGTTAGCTCAAAGAATATTTAAAACTAGTCACTATATGCAATGAGACTTAGAGCTCATATGAAAGAAACTTAGAGATTTCCCCAAGTTTGGCAATACTCCTAAACTTTACACAGCATTAAACTTTACAACATAAAGAAAATTATTTAAAGTAGCCACACAAAAAGTTAATCAACCCTGTAGAACTAAATTATTTCCCTGGTCTCTTTATAGAAAAAAAAATCATTGGTTATGAGTAGGTGATTAAAGAATATCAGAAAAAGCATAGAGAAAATTATTATAGAGGCATATACAGTTAATTAATAAAAAACATTATGCTGCTGGGTACCCATAATCCCAGCAGCTCAGGAGGCCAAGACAGGAGGCTCACTAGTTCAATGGCAGCCTCAGCAAGTTAGCAAGGGGCTAAGGAACTCAGTGAGACCCTGTCTCTAAACAAAATATTAAAAAGGGCTGGAGATTAGTTACTTAAGTGCCCCTGGGTTCAATCCTCAGTACAAAAACAAAAATATTATTCTATGTTTCTATATTTTATAATATGTGATTTTTGTCAGATTTTTAAATTTTGGAATTTGTCATTTTTTTTCTGATTCTAAAAAAATATCCTCCTCCTAACCTAATTCCGTATTTCTGACTTTGTATTCTTTTTTAAAATTTTTTAAATTAGTTGTCGGTGGAACTTTATTTTATTTATTTATTTATTTATTTCCTTCCTTCCTTACTTACTTACAGTGCTGAGAACTCAACCCAGTGCCTCACATGCTAGGCAAGCACCCTGCCACTGAGCCGCAACCCTAGCCCTTTATTCTTTTCTTAAAGGACACACTAACTTGTGTGAACTTCAGGCCCCACAACTTGGATCTGTCCTGCTCAGCCTTCTTGCTCCCTGGGCTCCAGTCATCTTGGATGCCTTCTGTACCGATGACTTAGGAGGTGTTTGGTGCCTGTTAGCATCAGAAACGTATTTGTAAATGAATGAATGAATCCCAAACTGGAATGCTCAATGTTAGTGGCCCGAACTTGGTCTGTTGTAATTTATTGCTGCATTCCCACATCCCAGACCGTGCCTTGCACCCAGCAGGTGCGCAGTATTTGCTGAGTGAATCCAGGCCTGCTCAGCTGCACGCGAGGCTTCTTCCCATTGTGCCAGTTATCTCCAGTTTACCAAGCACTTTGATCCTTTCCACATCTCCGAGACGTATCATTTTCCTTTTGGAGTTAAAGCTAAGTGGAGATTCAGAGAAGTGACTGACCCAGGTCGCTCAGTCTATGGCAGAGTTAAGTTCAAAGCCAGATCTCTGGCACCGAAAACCCTGTCCTCTGCCACCCTCCCAATGCAATGCCACACAATACATAGGAAAGCCCATGGTGATGATGCAGAGGGGCCCATTCCCTGAAGGAAGGCTTTATGTGAACACTAGGTGGCGCCCACGTACAGAGTACATGGTTGCCCTCCTCTGATGGCCTAGGATTAGAAAGTAAATTATGGGTCACAAGTCCAACTTTGAGTGCCAGTTTCAGTTGTTCTCAAGTGTCTTGCTTTTGCTTCTTTGGCCAATGCTCGCTGAGTCTCAGTCTTCTTTTCTGTCAAGTGGGAATACTTACTAGTGAGAGGATATGGTCTCTGTGCATAGTAGGTGATCAAAAAATAGTTATGGGGGCTGGGGCCTGGTATGTGTAAGGCACTGGGTTCAATTCTCAGCACCTCATATAAATAAATAAAGGCCTATCAACAACTATATATATATATATGAGTTCTTCTAACTGGGCCCAAGGTTTCGGCTACTGTGATTCCTTAGTGTACTTAGGAGACTGGTTCCAGGACTCCCTATAGATACCAAATTCCATGATGCTGAAAGTACCTTATGTAAAATGGCATAATATTTGCATAAACTACCCACACGTCCTACTGTATACTTTAAATCATCTGTAGATAACTTAAAATATTACAATGCAAATGCTGTTTAAACAGTGATTATACTTTATTGTTTAGGAATAACGACAA